CCCATCCTTCAGGCTGCACCGTGAAGCCTCACACCTAAGCCCGACTTCAAATCCTCTCAAACTCGATGTCAAAACCACAGAGCTTGACGGAAGAGGAAAATGCCGTTACAGCCGAGAGATAAGTGGGAAGGCTCTGATCAGAGCGCCTCAACCCAACTGTGAAAATGTCTCCCCGTCTCACACTGTGCTCGCCTGGAGAAAATGAAGCAACTTTCTCCAGAAAATCTTCAGAAAGGACCCGAACCATTTACAGCCTCTGCTTTGAGGAAATGAGGCACTAAGTGCACCGGGACATGGAAACACACTTTACGTTTGATTATCTGTGCTGTGCTGTAAGTAGGCGAAACTGAACTGAAGTCGACTTCAAGCATAAAAAATTGGACAACAATGAATAGGCAAGATACTACATAAGGCTAAAAAAAGTTGGAATCATGACAGGCCTTAAAGAGGTTAAAGAATGAATGGACAGATGTCTGATTTCAATGTTGGATTATGTAAATGGCCTGATCAATGATTGATAGTCCGATGTCCAATATGGCGACCGCCACCCTTTTGGCTTCATAACTCCTCTCCAGAAACCAATGAGTGACACGAGTGAGACAACATCCATGTTTTATACAGTAAATGGTTTGTACAGCATTAGAAAGGATTAGCTTAGCAAAGCATAGCAAAAGTACTGAAGGCTGGGGAAACCGCTAGCTTGATTGTCTTTCATTAATTTCATTGGGTCCAAATTAATGGAAATATATCTTTTTTTTTTTTTTTAGAAGAGATAAAAATGTTTACATTAATGACTATTTAACCCTTTGAAAATCTAAGACCATCACTAATGCTAAGCTAAGCTAATTGCCTACTCTAATCTAACTCCGAGCGAGAAAACATATACTTGTGCTCTCAAAAATATCGAACTATGTATTGATTTAGAATATTAAAACATAAGAGCTGATCAAACTTTCAAGAAGAGGATCTGTATGAAGTCACAAAATACTTCAAATACTTGAAAAAAAACACAATTAGAAATGACAATTCAAAAACAATCTACAATGCATTTATAAACTAATCCAATACAGACAACGGGTCCATGCGCTCGACACTCTCTTACAGATTACATTGAAATGTTGAGTCCTACCTCATGACTCAGTTGGCCATGATGTTGCGTCTATGCCGGCTACATTCCTTAGGTTGCCACCAGCAGAGGGGCAGACTGATAAAAACAATTGCCACAACGGCAGCAAAATACATTTTATGTTGGTAGACAAAAAGAAGGAAATGTTGCAAGGCAGCTGAGAAACCCGCAGAGGAAACTGGACAAGAAACGATGAGAGCTGGAGAGAGCTGCATGGGTCCCAAAAAAATAAAGAGTAGTGATGGGATCAGGTGACTCAGCAGTAAGCAGAAAGTCGGTCAATCTCTTTATCTGCTTTTCCCCTTTATATCTGTAGCTCTCCCTCTGCGGTATGATCCTCTCCAGCCCCCCCCCCCCAAAAAAGCCTCTATGGTTCTCTCCACATCTGGGGATGAAAGTTTTAGGTTTGGTTCGGAGAAAAATCCTCACGGCAAACGCAAATACAGTAACTGTAAGGAATATAAGTATTGCTAATTATACTATCAAAATTATTAATCTCATGTGAGGTTTCTCGATCTTATCCCAGATGGTCCAGTCATGGCTAAGCTTCCCTAAACACACCAGCCAATGGGATTTAAGCGCGCTGACCGCTGTAACCTTTTTAGACTTTAAATACAGCACAAGAACATTAACCGTTTCGCTGCATATTGCCGAGTCAGCGGTCGGCACAATGAGAAGAAGGCGAGGACAGATCTGAGGACAAACAAACGTTTTCAACCACGCTTTTAACTGTTTCTGGGGGCGCCTGTGGGGTAGTGGTTAGTCTGCACAAATCGTGTAAAAGGCTGTTGTCCTCCAAGTGGCCGTCCCGCGTTCAAATCTGACCTGTGGTGATAATGCTTGTTGTAATCCATATGGCGCCCTCTGCTGGTGAAAGAGAGCTGCTACTTTAACACAAAGAATAGAATTACAAGATTATTATTCAGAATATCTTTATATGACTTGGCCGAAGTTTTGAAGTTGACCACACGCTCATTAACGACCAAAACTTGAGCATTTGGATGCCGCTATTTTGCTAATTACTAAGTAACTGATTTAAATAACAGGATTAACGTGGGTGGTCTTAGACCAATGTTTCTCAACTGGTGGGTCAGGACCTGAAAGTGGGTTGTCGAGATGTGCCAGGGAGAAAAAAAAGTATATTACAAAGGATATGAAGCACTTTTAAACATGTTTCTTCGGTTTGTTGTCTTTGCTCTGTCACATTTTGTACCGTCTGAGGTTCAAATTGCGCAATTTTATGAAAATATTTTTTTCACAAAAGGAGTTGGTGTTGGGTCCTTAGGCTGGTCCAGTTGAGAACCAATAGTCTAGACGAGTTTGAGTTGGACTAGATTTGCTGTTTTTGTGAAATATCTTGAGTAACGTTTCTTATGATTTGGCATTATGTAAATAAGCTAAGATGTTAGCTTAAAATTGAGCACTGTTAATCAAGTTTCCTTAAGTGTGACCCTATTCCTATTTCTCACCAGCAGATTGCAGACGAAAGTGTTTCTGTCACTCATTTTCGCCATGTCCCTGATGAACGCTCTACTTATTACAATCATGTACTCACTCGTCATCCCCGAGAAATGATGTCTCCCTCCATGCAAACCCCCTGACACGCACTTCAGAGGAGACCCTGATTGAATGAGACGTCTTCGGGTGCTGGCACTCGAACGGTTTCCAGCCGATGGGAGCAGTCAGAGGAGTCAAGATTTGGTCGGAGCTGACTGATGTGAGGTCAGTGCTGAGGTCGAATGAGGTCCAGGAAGAGTCCGAGGAAGCAGATGGGCTGCTGTCTTCCTTCTCATCACGCAATCTATCTCCTCGGTGCATGGCGCAAGACGGAAAATGGAGACGGCGGGATGATTGGGGGTAGAAAAATGCAGCCTGAAGATGACTAATGAAGAGAAAAAGGGGATGAGACTTGGATGGAGACGATGTATACATTGAAGGATGTCTTGATGCAGCAAAAGAGAAAAAAGTAAAGCGCACTCTTACTTTCCAAAAGCTTCTCACGCTCTTCTCTTTGGTCTCAATAAAGTACTGATGAGAGACTGAGGATAACGGGAAGACAAAGACCAATCAGAGGAAACTCTAGACACAAGGGATGCTGATATGGATTTGAGGGCAGGAAGAGGAAACCTCTCAGCGACTAGAGCAGAAGCCGCAGGGACCGAAAAAAGCGGGGAGGAAAGATATTACCTAGCCGCTGGAGATGAAAGGGGAGGAGGAGGAACAACAAAAAGGAGAGGTGGAATCAGGTGACCCTAACCCAGCAGCACTTATGAGGTGATAGCGCACAGCCCATTACATCCCATTTCCCCAACACAACAATTGAATCATGTGGTAAGACGATAGACACGGTGTGGGGAGGGAAATCGATATGAGGCTGGAACTGGTGGCTTCTGTGGCTACATGATAGCAGCAGGCAAGAAAGTGCCGTCTTAGGTTGCAGCGATAACCGGCTCATTACAAGAAGTCTCACCCAGTCCAAATACAATTAGGGCTCACCACTAAAAACCTATTAGGACCCTCACACAGTAGAGGCAAGGTAAGCCAGTCTCCTATAAGTCCATTGGGAATACATTAAGGGAGTAGTTCTGTAGACAGTTAAGATTAAGACCACACGCGTGGAAGAAGAGACTGCATCAGGGTTGGCCAACAAATCAGAAATCCAGCAAGTAAAAACTCTTGATCTAGCACATCCACATCTTCCATTGCAGTTTTGGAGAAATCCACAATGATCGCCTGACTTTGACACAGGAAGAATACAAATTGAAGAATCGAAAGCTTTGAAGGTGTTTCGGTTTGTCTAACTTCAGCGAACCTTTAGGATTTCATGACAGCAAAACATCAGCTAATTCTGTCAGAGAATGCCCCACATATGCCAGGGACATACATACTAGTATTAGTACCACTAATGTATAGAGTAGTTGTCCTAGTTCTAGAAAGCCAATTTAACTTCCTTCCGTCTTCATGCTAAGCTAAACTAAGCTAAAGAACTTAACTTTGGCGGAAAATCATTCAAACAAAGCTGACATTTGTTTTTTTTGTAAAATGTGCCACTTATTGGTCAAAGATCAAAAATGGCCAATAAGTGAGCAAGTTTTCCCAAAGACCAAGTCTTAAGATAAAGGTTGCTACTTGGCCACACAAGGGTAAAAAAAGGTATTTAGGTGTCTGACAGCTGAGACTTTAGATTGCCACATCACTCGCCATCAGCTGCATGATGGGGCTATTAAGTTATAGGACAAACCCCAGGGCGACCTCCGCTAAAGAGTTACCAATGAAGTGTTACAATAGTCCACATTCCACCATGATCGTACGAGTCAATGGTTTGCACTTTCACTTTGTCCTGGGAGTTTCTCAAAGTCCCTGAACATGGCGGTGTCTCAGGACAACCAGTTCCTGATTATGATTAAGATATCTAACTCCCCTGAAGAACCACTAAAAAGCTCAACATTTAATCAAGGGCAGATCTAAAAATAATAGCCTGAATAAAAGCAGAATGGGTCCCAAGTTCAAAAGGAATCACTCAATTTGATTTAAAGTGCTTTAAATAAGCTCAAATAAAAACAGAAGCACCACGTAGACAAGGACAGCAGATTCAAAATGTCAGTTTCCTGTGACAGCAGTTTTAAGTTTTAATCAGGTGTAGTGGGGGGGGGGGCACAGAAGGTGAAGGTAGCTGATAAAAGTCTCCTGTCTACATTTAACTTTTAATAGAAGAGTGCTTCGCGAGGTGAGTTCAATAACTCAAGCCCATTTGCATGCTGATTCATCTTACAGTGTTAAGTGCAAAGGGAGGGGAAATGTGCAGGGGCCCGAGTACAAGGCTTTGGAAACACCAGACACACCGTGTAGAAGAACAGAATCGGGAAACGTTGAGTATGTGTGAAGACATAGAGGAAAGAAAGACTTTATTTGAACTTGGAAAAAAAACAAAAAGAAAACAGACATCAGACCAAAAACACTGCAGAACTTATCACAGGCTACAACAATCCGACCTGTGTACAACATACCAGAAACATATACAGCAATTTACTGTAAATTACACTATATTTACAGTATTTGTTGGAGAGACATTTGTTTGTTTAATCAGTACTTGTAGTTGGAATTAGCCAAGTTTTTAGAACAGATTTAAATAATTGAACATGCTCATGAAATTGTTTTCAATTAACAGCATAAAGATCAAGGAGTTTTATTTTGTATCAACACGTCACCAATTTTCCCGTGATAACGAGTCATTTTAGGTTATCATATCTCGATAACGACTGATTGGTCGATATTAATTTATCTCATTGTTTCATGATAGCGCAACCATTTTCTTGTAATCTTGGAAACAAAGGGCTGGTCACTGTGATCGGCCTGGCCCTCACACTACAGAGGTAAGTTTAGCCTCTTTCTGCGTTTGTTTTTGCTTTTGGGACTCTTGTTATCACGGGAAAACCGACTAAATAAAATGTATTGAAACTTGTCCACTCAGGGCTGCTTAGTTCTGAACATTTTTTTTTTTTGCAAAGATAAGATTAGATAAGCCTTAGACGCTTTGAAACAGTTTGTTTTTGACACATTCAGATGATTGCCTCATTTTCCTTTTGCTTAAAGAATTGAACTGGTCTCAAATAATCCCTTTTCCACTTGCCTATGTTTAGCTTATTAATGTCATTGATATTGTGGATATGTGACAAATACATGTCATACAGATAAAAGCAAAAACATTCTTCACATTTAAGTCTTTATTTTATTTTTCAAGTCGTTTCCAGGTGTCGCCCCCTCACCGAAAACCAAAAGGAGAGAGGTGATCCTGCTCTGTGCAAGTCCAAACAGTTCCCCAAATGTTTGTCATAAATAGCAAATACCCTTTTGTTTTTTTGCAACGGTGATTTAGTTATGAAGGTTTACAGAGTGAGAGAAGAAGAGCAGAAAAAGACATTCGTCAGACATTCACATGAGGACATAAAAAGAAGAAAGACATAGAGACTGAGTCGTGAAAAATCCAGAGTCAAAAGCAGCAAAGGAACTCCGGGACAGGAGGAGCAAGACCTTTTAAATTCCGAGATGAATCATATCGAAAGGGGCGTGGCTTACAAACAGTCAACAAAGCATAAACATTGATTGGACAGGCAGAGCGCAGAACAGAACATGAATCAGTGCGCCTTTGTCTAACGGACCACCATTTCCCAAACCTGACTCTAGAGGGCGACAAAGTCAACGCACAAGAAAAAAAAAACTTAACTTGGCTTTAAAAACTCCAGGCTAAGTAAGGGAGAAGGGGAATCAACGGTGGTGGTGTATATATACACGGGTATATTCAAAAAGAAGAAGAAATAGCCGTCTACATGCAAAGCAGTCTCACTCAAAGAGCATGGCTGAGGGTTAGTAGCATGTTAGAAGCAACAGGGTCCATAAGGCAACAGTAGCTAAACATATGGAGAGGGGGAAAAGTCTGTCCAGGACGACAACGCAGCTGGTCCTTCCGAGTGTTCTGCTATTGTTCCTCTGTACGTGAGGACGAACCAGGTAAGTCTAGACAGGCTACAAAAAAAAAAAATGTTCAGAGAGGAAAACACAAAGGCCCGACACCTCCCTTCAATAAATGGGCCTGGGTTGTTTCATGTTGTAGTGGGCCTCTGATGCCGACACATATGCAGACTCAGGGAAAAAATCCTCATGGAACTCTGCCAGAAACCTAAGAGAGAGGAGAGGGGGCCGGGGGAAAGGAGAGGGGGAAATGTGGTAAGAAATTTTGAACAATGTTCAGTGGTAATAATTGAATTCAAGTGGTGTGAGAAAGCACAATGGGCTTACAAGAAGGGGGGGGGGTATCCATGACAGTGACAAACCCCCCCTCTATCTATCCCTATACCACCATCAACAGGGCACCAATCGCCCCTGAGAAAGACACAGACCATGAGAATGACCGAGCAGCAGTCAGAGAGCGAAAGAGTGAAAAATCCCCCCCCCCCCCCTCCCTCCCCTCCCTCTCATCTAATCAGTAGCGGGGAAAACTAATCCGGAATCTTCTTAGTATCCGCTACTCGGCCAAATCCTCTAAATCTTGCCATCTCATCTTAGCTCCACCGGCCTTCCTAATCTCAATGCAAACAAATTATCCTCATCAGAGGAGAACTGACAACCGCTTTGACAACGGCCGACAAACAAGACGACGTCATGGCAACGATAACAGGGAAGACGAGGGTGTCGGATAGACGGTGAACGGATCGAGGGGAAGCAGAAAGGAAGTTTGTTCGCGGCTTATTCTTCACAATTAAAAAAAAAACCTTTCAGTGTATGTTCATCGATTGCACATTTTCATCCGCGGCTCCTCGTGCTGATCTTCGCTGCAGTAAGAATAACGCAAGGCGAGCCGCTTTACACACAAACACACACTGCACATCGACATAACGTATGTGTACACATGTGCACACACCCCGCACTTAATCATAATCATGCATCGCCGAGAAAGGGAGAGTGAGAGATCAGCTGTGGCCAAATCCCAGAATGCATTGCACTTCACTCTCTGCGACATCAATCAGTTCTTTTTTTTTTCCCCCTCCACTCGGGCACAATCTGCCACGAGGGGCTGGTTTCAGAGGGGGGAGGCATGAAGGATGTCCCGAAGGCGACGCCGCTCCGGTTTGTATCCAGTGTCCTGCGAGAGCCTCGGACACTTTGAAAACATGAATTAATTCACCAGAAGAAGAAAAAGTGACTAATACTGAACATCAATACTGTTCTTACGCTCATCTGAGCTGCAAAAAAGGACGCCACTCAGTCATGCAGTTACGACCTGCATCATCTTGCAGTCTATTGGAAATACGGTAAAATGTTCTACCCGTTTTTCCACGGCTAATGACGACAACGTACGAGATACCGATGTATGAGGACAAACTACAAATTCCGCTGAAAAAGAACCGAGATCTACAGAGCCATCTTGTAAACAAAGACATCCTAGGAGGGTGATGAATATGGGGGGAGTAAGGGGTTAGGGTGTATAGAGTAGGGGGTAGAAGGTAGGGAGTAGGGAGTAGGGGTTAGTGTGTAGGGAGGAGGGGTATAAAGTAGGGTATAAGGAGTAGGGGGTAGGAAGAAGAAGGTATGGAATAGGGTGTAAGGGGTATTGAGGAGTAGGGGGTAGGGAGTAGGGTATAGGGAGAAGGGGGTAGGGAGAAGAAGGTATGGAATAGGGTGTAGGGAGTAGGGGTTAGGGTGCAGGGAGTCGGAGGTAGGGAGTAGGGTGTAGGGAGTAGGGGTTAGGATGTAGGGAGTAGGGGGTATGAAGTAGGGTATAGGGAGAAGGGGGTAGGAAGAAGAAGGTATGGAATAGGGTGTAGGGAGTAGGGGGTAGGGGGTATGGAGTAGGGGGTAGGTTGTAGGGGTTAGGGTGCAGGGAGTCGGAGGTAGGGAGTAGGGGGTAGGGAAAAGAAGGTATGGAATAGGATGTAGGGAGTAGGGGTTAGTGTGTAGGGAGTCAGAGGTAGGGAGTAGGGTGTAGGGGGTATGGAATATGGAGTAGGAAGAATTTTCTACCCGTATTTCGACGTATGAGAAACCGATGTATGAAGAAAAACTGCAAATTTAGCTGAAAAGTCAGAGCTCTACATACAGAGCCATCTTATAAACAAAGTCATCTTAGTGTACAAAGACGTTCTATGAGGGTGATGATGAATATGAAAAGAAGACAGAGTATACAGGACAGATATCTGCAGAGCTTTCTAGTCAAATGGAGCGTTGCATAGTTTCACAACACAGTTAGTCAGCACCAGCAGTCGTTTTTATGGAGGGGAGGAAAAAAAAAAGAGGCAACTCTGGCCTCCTTTAGATTTCCCCGTCTCTGATAGTCCAGCCTGTTTGCTCCGCAGCACTGCCTGCTGGCAGCTGGCGGTACTGCGTTGCTTTGATTAAGAGAACGAGAGAGACCTAAATCCCCCCAGGTTTGGGAACCGGCTGAACTGAAGATCGCTCGGGAGGATTTAAAGATTAGACCCGCGGCGCTTGTGTAACGCCCACTCATCTCCCTCCCCGCTAACACATGCTCTTTCTCACTCCATCTCCTCCCTATCCTCCAAACCCCCCACCCTACCCCTCACATGTACTTACTTTCCCCCCCTGCCTTTTTATTTTGTTTTATTGATAAATTCCTGACAATGACTACTTTCATTATTTATTTGATCATAGCTACTGTTGTCCTGTAACCTTTAATCCCTCGCTTGATACAGTTAAGCCGGCTACCAAACGCCGCACTACACCAGTGTAGTGCATGAATGTGAGTCAGGCTGCACCTCCTGCTCCTCTCTCTTCGGGAAATGAGAACTTCTCTCAGCCTACTATTAAGCTCCGACACTTAGCTAGGTCACACCTTGGTTAATGAACCGCGCAGGTTATTAGCAGGGTGCAATCCGGGAGGCTGAAGTGCTTCCTTTCCAAACGCATCGGTAATTGAATGCGGCACCTCGTCTTTTTACCCTCCAAGGAAATGATATCTGTTCACCTGAGAGCACACAATCCACTTTTTTTCAGGAGTTGTTACATTTCTTTATTATGCCTGAATGTCTCTGAGAAGGAACTGCAAGCCTCGGTGAACCGCAGATTAAAAACCTCCGAGATGTGTTCTGAATTAAGGTGACATTTCTTGACGATGAGTTACCTGAGAAAGAGCTCCAGATGCTTCACCAGGGCTCGGAGATTCCTCTCGGGGATCTGCATCTTCCCCAGGATCTCCGGGAGCTTGACTGGAAAATGAAAAGAAAAGGATGCTGAGCACGGCGGCGGGGGGGGGGTTCTTTTGGTGCAGTGAGGAAACCAGGGGCGAGGGAATGGATCGGGCGCTCACCAAAAAGCCGCAGGAGGTGCTGCGCTCCGTACAGGTAGGAGGGTGGAGGAGGCTGGTCGTGCAGCGGGTAGTTATCTGGAGTCAGCTTCCAACTTAGGACCTGGTCGAGAGAACGTTTTTAAACACACATGTGGTGAACGTTTTGTTTCTACTGCATGTACAATGTGAATCTTTGGATATCAGAGGTGACTTGAAATCCATTTTTGTGAAAGTGGGGAGTAGGGCAAATTAGTTCCATCACCTCGTTCAGCTCGTTGTTCCTGCGGCTCTCCAGGCCGTAGAAAGGCCCGCTGCGCTCTTTACTCGGTGTCGAGGGCAACGGGGAAGAGGAGCCGCTGTGCACCGGGGTTTCTGGGTAAATAAAGGCAGAGAGAGAGAGAGAAAGAGAGCGAGAGAGAGAGAAAGAGGAGGGAGAGAGAGGAGGAGGAGAGAGAGAGAGAGAGAGGAGAGAGGGAGGAGAGAGAGAGAAAGAGAGGGAGAGGAGAGAGAAAGAGAGGGAGAAAGAGGAGAAGGAGGGAGAGAGAGAGAGAGATAAGGGGAGAGAGAGAGAGAAAGAGAGAACGAAAGAGAGAGAGAAAGAGAGGGAGGGAGAGAGAGAGGAGGGACAGAGAGAGGGGGAGAGAGAGAGAGAGGGAGAAAGAGAGGGAGGGAGAGAGAGAGGAGGGAGAGAGAAAGAGGAGGGAGAGGAGAGAGAGGAGGGAGAGAGAGAGAGAAAGAGAGAGGGAGAAAGAGAGGGAGGGAGAGAGAGAGGAGAGAGAGAAAGAGGAGGGAGAGGAGAGAGAGAGGGGGAGAAAGAGAGGGAGGGAGAGAAAGAGGAGGGAAAGGAGCGAGAAAGAGGAGGGAGAGGAGAGAGAGAGGGGGAGAAAGAGAGGGAGGGAGAGAAAGAGGAGGGAGAGAGAGGGGGAGAAAGAGAGAGGGAGAGAGGAGGGGAGAGAGAGAGAGAGAGAGAGAGAAAGAGAGAGGGAGAAAGAGAGGGAGGGAGAGAGAGAGTTGATCTCTTGGGCTTCAGAGGGAATCAGAGAAGTGAGATAACTCCATCTAGTGGGGAAAAGTGGGAACTACAAGCCAAGTCCAGATTGAGTGCGACTTACTTCTGTCGAGGTTGAGGAAGAACTTGGGCTGCGACGACGTGTCGACCAGCCGGCGTTTGAGCTGCGGGGAAGCCGTGGCGCTGCCTCCACCTGGGACGACACACGCGTTGTGTTTAGAAGCGCCACAAAACATTCTACATTGCATCGTTTTGATCAGTACGGAAAAGGAAGTTATCACGACCTCCGCTGCTTCCCTCGGCGGGCCGGTCCCCTCCCGACGTGTTCCTGGTGGAGCGCCGCAGTGACTGCGACTGGTAGGAGATGCAGTCCATGTCGGGGTGGCGCCGGCGCTTCGGGGTGGGAGCCGGCGCCGTCGGGGTTGTGGCGGATATGTCGCTCAGAGCCGGCTGGCTGTCTGTGGACTGCGGGGTGGGGGGGTTGTGTCCCAGCGGGCTCGGGCTGCGCTCTCTCTGAGCACTTCAAGACAAATAAAGAGAAGAAGACAGGGCGGCTTGAAGCTCGACGCTACAGCACGCAGACGAGCGAGGAAGAGAAGACACATACCTGCTGGAGCAAGGCGAGCTTTCATGGACGGCCAGGAAGAGCCTGGAGGAGCTGACCTTCTTGAACTGAGCTTGTTCACACGGGTAGAGGAGGATCATGGGTAACGTGAAGTCGAACGTGATCCTCAGGCCGTCGACCATCTCTTTACACAACTCCTCGCTGTAAAAGGACAAAAAAAGTTGTGTCTTTTTCTGACGCGATCATCGAACGTGCGCAAAAAAAAAAAGGAAACGCCAGCGTGCCGGCTGACCTCTTCTCGGGAAGGATCGGCTGCGGGCTGCTGCTCTGCGTGGCGTTCTGCTGCCGCCGGTACCTCTCGTTGGCCATGAACGCCTTGTTGATGGCGAAGTGCTTGACGTAGGATTCCAGGATGTGCACCACGTTCGTCTGACAGGGAACCATCACCAGCTGGGACGGGGAGGGGAGAAAAAAAAACACGGCCAACGCTTCAGTCGTGCAAATGCTACGGTCGCTAACAACGCTAACTTGAAGAAGCACAGCAGCAGCCCCATTCAGCATACATGTTGAAAATAAAGAAATGAAACACACCTTCATATCTGCTGCATTTACCTTCTTCCTCTTGTTGATGTAAAAGCAGTCGTCCTCCAGCTTCTTCTTCAGGACGTCCGGGATGTTGATGTCCACGTGGACGACCTTCTCCTCGCTTTCCCGTTTGATGTTGACGTCCGGCTCGACCCTCTGAAAAGACGAATTCAACAAACACACGTGTGTGATCATCGGCGTTGTGGCCGTGTCTTTGGAGTGTGCGCGCGTGAGTGAACGAGAGGCGAGGGCGTGAACTACGGGAGCCCGGGGCGATCAAAAACCGACGCAATCCGCCTCCTACCATTTTGTTGATGTCCTCAGAGAAGGTGCTTTCCCCGCTGTTTGAAGAGTCAGGGTCGGAATCGTCCCCGTCGCTGCTGTCAGAAGACGAAATCAAACCTGCAGATTTTTTAAAAAAAGAGAGAGAGAGAGAGAGAGAGAGAGGGGTGTGTTAATACGGAAAAACAGGGCGGGAAGGTCAAGTCAGGCAGAGAGGAAGGCTTCTCACATGCGTCATCACTGTCGTCCTCTTTCGGGAGAGTCTTCAGAGCAGATTTAGTACCAGACTGACGTCGCCGCCGTTTGGCCCATCCTTTTTTCTTCCTGCAGTCGGGGGACGCAAAACAAGACAAACTCCACCTCAATGACTGCGTCCTGAAAATTTGAAACAGGCGGCAAAACCGAGGCTTTACACTCATAATGCTCGGGGTCGGATCTGTTCTTGTTTGTGCATATGAAGGAATCCGGGACAAGTCATTTTGATGCGAGAACAAACATGCTGAGAAGAATGTTTGGAGTGTATGGAGCTGCACAGTCCCATGGCTTTGACTGTGATGCGAATGGCTTGCACATGAACAGGTAGTATCCATGGTAACGGGGCTCCTGATTTTCCAGAGCCCCCCTCCTAGCTGCAGCCGTGCACACATTGGAGAAACTGAACCACACACAGGTACGGGGAAACGGCTTTCCTCGATTGAATGAAGCAACATAACAGGGACTTACATGCGACCTAGAGCTTTGCGAGCCAACCTATGTTGCAATCCACGATTTTCCTCGGTGTCCCTTAGGACA